CACCAGTTTCGGCTTGCAAAAACATTAACCTGTTGGTTTTATACAAGTTGTAGAAGTACTGCAAGTGATACCACAAATTAGGCCAAATAAAAATAATGAGACACTTAAATGTTGTGTTACTATATACGAAAGACGGTTTAGAAAAGAAGGTCCTCTCCTTGTCCTGTTCTCAAAGCTGTGTGAACACTGACAGTAATTTAATATAACCAAAACCCACCCACAGTTTGACTCCTATGTTTTGACAGACAATTTACCAGTTCCTCAGTTGCTCTAAATCTGCAGTTTCTTTTCAGTCACTGGAGCTACATCAATTTATTCCACTTATGGATCTAATCCAACACCTTCAAATAGTTACAGGAGAAGATTTCTGCTTATTTTGCCCTGGTTTACAGTAGCTGCTCCATATGTTTTCTCAGATAAGAGTAGGAGATATGACATCATTTTCTCATCAATTACTGTTACAACTACCATAAGTGGCAGAAAATATGCCATGCAAACCTGATCCTGAAATAAGCACCTCAAATGAGTAAATGGCACTGACTTTTAAGGACAATTCTTTTGAGGTTAAGTGTACAGGATTATTGCTGAAGTGTGTACACAATTATTGCTGAAGTTTGTACAGGTATGAAGTAAAACTATTTCATTTAAACAGTAAAATTTATGAACAGGATTAATTGAAATTCATTATTTGACTAGGAGAAAAGCTTTAACATTCACATCCAAACATCGATGACACCCCCATGTTCCCTGAAGGTCCAAATCTTTCTAGGGGCTTCAAGGGAAATAAGTGAGCTTAGCAGCCTAAAGAACTTATGAAAGCTTCATATTTGGCCTAGAAGAATCAAAATATAGTAATGGGGCACATTTTTCCACTTCTTAGCTTTTCATTGCAGTATCTTTCTTCTGTACCAGTTGTATAATTGAGTTTCCCTATTTTGGAATGGGTTCACTTGACCCCAGAATAACCTAAAATATTACTAAAATTATTTTCACCGTTTTCTAAGGAAAAATGATTTCCTTTACTCCTAGTGTCAGCAAAATAATAAAATATTGTTGCTTTGCTGATAGCACACCAGAAAAATAAAAAAAAACCTAAATAGACTATTTGCAATGCTAAAACCCAAGTCTAAGAGAAAGTAAAAATAACTTTTAAATTTTGTTTAAAACAGCGATATTAAATGATCTGAAAGTCAAACACTTTAAAATCTCCTTATTTTAAACTAGATAACATTTGACAGCACTGAAGCTTCCACACAGCTAAACAAAAGCTTTCTGAGGGAAGTTTCAGAAGGCATTTCTTATGCTTTGTTCATATTCTAAGCGCCCTCTACTGCCAAAGAAGCTGTACTACAGAGAGAATGACCACTTGCCTGCAAGCAGCAAATAGTAGAAACCCACACATATTGATTGGTTGATAGATATAGATAGATAGATGATGATAGATGATAGATAGATGATAGATAGATGATTGATAGATAGATAGATAGGTAGATAGGTAGGTAGGTAGATAGATAGATAGATAGATAGATAGATAGATAGATGGATAGAGATAGATAGCTTGGCTTTGCGAGCGAAGATTTGGGAAGGGCTTTAGCCACGCTTACTATAAGCACGATGACCAAGGGCATGTGGGATATGCAAATCTGTTTGGAAAAAGTGTGCTAAGGCAATCAGGAAGTGTCTGACCAGAACTGTCATCTCCTGAGCAATCTCGAGCTACCCATGCGCTGGTCCGCCCACAGGCAAGGTTGGATCTGCAGGTTCCCATGCACCTTGTCACCTGCCGTTTTGACCCTTACCTGTCCATACAGACAAGTGAGAGTAAGCCCTTCCAGCCTGCGCAGTGGATTTTTTAGGTGAGGCACAGCTTGCGCAGAACTGGCCCCACCCTTTATACCCAAGGTTTAACTGCCATGGCTTAGCTAGCTAGGACAATGACAGCAAAGCCCACAGGTTGTAGGTTTTGTAAGAGTGTCCTACTCTTAGATGGAAGACCTTACAAGGCTAGACAAGCTCCGTCAGCCTGGGTTTGAAAATAGGAGTTTTCCTTCTCCTGTGAAGGCCTGTCTTCATTAACAAAGATTCAGGAAGGGCTTTAAACACACTTTGACACTTCCTGGTATTGCCTTTCAGGCTATATGTAGTTGGACTTGAAAGATACCAGCAATACAATGTTATTTTGGTGGGTTTTTTTTCAGAGGAAGAAAAAGAAAAGTAAATCAAGTGGTGAACAGAAACATGCAATCCTTCATTTCTGCTGACAGTGTGGGCTCTTCCTTTCTGCAGTTTGCTGTGCTCCATTAGCTTTTTACCTATCTATGGTGTCTATTTTGGCATTCAAGAGACATATTTCTCAAGAACGGCTGTGATCCTGCCTAACATGTAGTCAAGTTTTACACGTGTGCCCAAACATAGAGGGCACAAGTGTAAAATTTGAGGGATGTCTTCTCCCCATCAGCAGAAGATGGAGAGAAGGCATCCTTCCCTGGGGAGCTGACAGGGTGCAATGGCTAGAGAAGCTAGGGAGATGTAATCAACACTGCATGCACTCCTACCACAGAATAAATTCCTTCTGGGCACAGGAAGGTTTCTGGGTCAGGACTTGCACCCATGGGAAGGACTGCTCCTCCTTCTGTGTTAGAGCTGCTTGCCACATGCAGCCCAGCCCTCAGTGAACTGCTGTGCATTCCTTGTGTGCCTTTGCTCTGCATTTCTCAGCAGGACAATTTTCATTTTTAACAAGCTCTTATTGTTCAACCAGAATCAAGTTACTTAGGAGTTTCTAGGGTTTGTTTTCCATGCAAAGTGGTCAGACTGAGAAAATGCAGGTCTGCAACATGTGGAGCTACAGATTTGACTGCAAAAAGTTCTTAAAAGAGTGGTAAAAAAAAAACCAAAAAAAACCAAAAAATAATCTTTAGCCTTTTAGAGGCTAAAAGAAATGCATTTTAATGTATTCTAGTCAGTGCATTTAACAATTTGTACTGTACATAGTAGAAGAAGAAGTTGCATGTGTATTAGTGCATACTAATGTATGTGTTTATTGTTTGTGGTGGTGGACATTGCAGTCACTCTGGCCAAGCTGTGAACAAACATAAATCATAACACCTGAAGTCCCTGACCAGATTAACTCTTCATCCTCCAGCACATCCTCCAGCAGTGCAGTGATACGTCCTGACAGGTTTCCAGCTCCACCTGAGATCAGTTTGAGAGTGGGTAAAGTGGAGGCATTTAAATGACACAGGAATCCTGGAAAAGTGGGGATTGTGGCCATTTCTTATTGGCACAGAGGGCCCATTGGTTACCGAGGCGACCAGCAATGACATCCAGCCCTGTCTCTGGGACTGTGGAAGCTGTTGGGAGTTTCCAGTCTCATGTATTTACAGGCATCGGCAAGGGTTTTATTTTTGTTAATTTTTTCCTCTTTTTTGAATTATGACATTCCAAAGACCTACGTGACCTGATGGTGACACTGAAAAACTATAAAAATTAAAAATCAGCAATATTCTTTGCCCTTCCTCATGAACATACAGGATTAGCTTCTACAGCATAATTGAAGTGCTGCGTCCAACCTGGTTTAGACAAGGCAAACTACATGGATATGTCTACTATCTTTGGGAAAGGCTTTGAAATTAGTTTCTCTTTCAAAAGTATGGGATGGTACTCTAATGATTTTTGTAGAACTTAGCATACTTCTGGAAAAAAAATAAATTAACTCTATAGTTTCATTAAATAGTAAAGTCAAGAGTCAGTTCTTGGGCTTGTCACCTAAGATTCCTCAATAAGCAGTTCATATTGAAAATGAACAAATTTGTGCAGTGAATACAAGGAAGCAGGTGTTCCCAACTGTCTTTTCTTCTAGAAATATTCCCATGTTTTACCAAGCAAGTAAAATATACCAGCCATATGAGACTGCTGAATTATTTTACACAATATATATAAATATATATGGTGCTTCTGTGCATTTAAGAGTTACAAGGCAACCTGCTCTTGAAAGTAAAGCACTTAACTTCAGTACCAGTAATTTTCAGCATGACAATGTTCCTTCAAGCTTTCCAAGAGTAGGACATCATCCCATGTGGAGCAACTCCATCTGCCCAGCAGATTTTATAATTTGAATCTCCATGTTCATTTTATCTTTTGTTTTCCGGTGAGAGTGGCAACAAAGGTGTTGATCAGTTCCTACATCTAGTGATGGATTTTGTTCTGGATGCAATATTTTGGGGTGACAAATTTTATGATAGGTAGAAAAACAGACATTAAAGATCTCTTCAATGTAGTGTAGACAGACTGAACATGAAGCTATGACTGCAAGTAGACAAATTCAACTGAGCAAGAATCTATGTATAAAACAAAACTATAGCTGCCCTCTAAGCTATACCAGCTCCTAGTATCTTTAGATCAAAACCAGATACTTTCAAGGAAGTGACACACTAGTCAAGCAGAAATTATTTGTTTTACTGTGGAAGTAACTGTGGAATTTACTGGCTTCTGATGCATTTGTAATACGTTGGATAATACTGACCTATGGCAAAAGGTCAGAGCTAGAGATATACAGTAGACCCCTCTAACACAGCTCTATGAACCTATCAGTTGCACACAGAGATGCATCAGGTATTAATGACATTGGCTTTTCACAACGTGTCAGATTTGAATAAGGGACTAGATGTGAAAGGTACACATAATGAAAACAATAAGAAAAAAAAAAAAAAACCAAAAACTGCAAGCATAGTTGTTTCCTCCATCTTGAACTCTGGTAGTTTAACTGGGCCAGACTGGAGTGATGGAGTTTTGCCAAGCTTGGTACAGCTTCTGACTTACAGCATGTCTTGCCAAACCACCACAGGTGACTGAAGAAATCCAGGACTGGGCAAACCAGTCAGCAGTAGACTGAGGCCACTGCTAAAAAGCAGAATGAAAACACACAGCAAGAGCTAGCAGTAGGAGTGGGAAACAGTAAAACACTGACACCCCTGAGCCATTATCTCAATGTTTCTCACCTGCTTAGGTCAAGCATTCACATCAAAGGATTCAGAAAATGGAGATAGATGGTCAGAGATTCCTCCTCATCACTTCCCTTTCCCCTGCCTGGCCTGAGACCCTCATGTGACAGTTACCACCTTTCCAATACCCTAGAAAAAAAAGGACACAGTTCACATGTTTATAGTTCATTTTCTCAAGGAAGACCATGAAGTTTTGTAAGCTCCAGCTGTTTGAATCCAAGAGACCATGCACCCTACCCTTCTATGCCAGCCACCTGCACTTCTCATAGACATGGTCTGAGAGGTAAAGAGTGGCCCCTGCTCCCCATTCCTGGCCATGGATGTCACTTTGCTTTGACTTCTACTTCAGCTTACACCCACTGCTCTCCTGCTCGATCTTCCTCCTACATACACACACACATTTTATCTGTATGTATATGCTCATGTTACAGTTTCATATGGTAAGTTGCATGCATTCCAGTAATACTCATTACTGCAAATAGTTTTGAACTACATAAATATTATGGACATGCAAATACATAGCCAGCATTAATATTCCATCACACCCTTCTCCATCCTGCTTTTCATTAACTTACTATCATGCTATTACTCAAAGGAAACAAGGGACATAGCTTGGTTTGCTTAGCACAGAGATGCGCAATTAAATGCATAAGAACTCAGAATATTACCCATGGTTTCTACACAAAAACTGTAGGACTTCAACCTTAAGAGGTGAACCTTCAGGTTACTAAGAAAATCTCAGCAAGGAATAAGGAATGAAGCAATTGTATTTAAAAGATACACTATTTTTGCTGTATTCGAAGAAGCCATACAAACCTCAAAGTCCTCTCCATGTCAGGTTATTAAAAAGTAATTAATAAGGAATCAGACCATATAGAAGCTTCTTCTCAGCCTGATTGCAGAATATTTCAATAATTCCTAGCTTAGACTTCAATAAGTGCTAATAGAGCTTGACATTACCATGATGAAAAATCATACACAAAAATACTACAAGCTATAGTCCTGCTTATATCAAGCAGTAATGGGGTGAAACTCCTCTAATTTTGAAGAACTAAACAAGAGAATTTAATGAATGTTGATTAACTGCAGTTAATGGCAAAAAGATCTTATAAAACTATCTGATGAAAATAAAAATTTGCTTTGTAAAGGCAGTACTGTTGATTTAATAAGATCCCTGAAGCATTTGATGTGCTTTTTTGAAGATTTGAATTGCGGATCTAGAACGGTATAAAATAACTGGTTTACATTTTATGTAAGTTCACCATCATTTAAAGACTCTTGAAGTCTACTCGTAAGTGGGAAACTATCACTGCACAAGTATCTTTCTAATAGGTTCTCACTGTATTTTTTCTTCACATTTTCACGTTTTTATTAATAACCCGTAGAAAGCATCTAGTCACATCATTTCTGATAAAGATTTCATATAAAGGAAAGACCAAGAAGTGATGGATAAATAGAGATTACTCATATAAAAGGATCTGCACTGTACAGAGAGATAGCACAGTCAAATAGGTTCTTCAATGTCAACAATGAAAGGGTGTGCATCTATAAAAAACACACATGATATTTAGAAGAAGGGATTTCTGGGTTGTAACATTTTCAGTTACTATTTCCAAAAAAAAAGAAAAAATATTCATGGCAAACAGTAGAATATGTGTTCTTTCTGAGTAGCCACTGTGGCTGCTATGAGTAGAGTTATGGTTTAGTGAACTGAAAAAGGAAGATATTTGAAGGTTATATTGCCTTGATATTGGAGCATCTGCTGTTTGTATCCAACACTGCTGTCCACATTTTAAGGAAGCTTTTTAAATAATCAGAGAGGGTTCAGAAAAGAGTTAGAAGGAAAAATGGAAAGCTGCAAAACATGAATGCAAAGATTAAACACACTGGTGATAGAGTTACGTTATTAACTTGAGCAGCTCACACTTGAGTCCACAGTCTTGATCATCCATGCCATATTTTTATTGACTCAGTCTCTGTGTCTAGTTTGGGATAAATCTACTACTTAGTCTAACAAAGGGTAGCTTAGAAGATCTGATGTTCTTGAGCTTCACCACTATTGACTGTATAATTACAATTTCTCTCCCCTCTATATTCCTGCAGCAAAGCCAGCAAAAGAGTAAACCCAAGACAGGTGCAGAAAAATAAGTGCAAAATGTCACCCTGGCTAGTAAATCTCCATAATTAGAGCCTGGAATTTGCTGTATTTTATGCTTATGTTCAGGAACGAACAGCATAGATACTTCCCCTTTGCCTTCAGAAGCACATCTTTACTTAAGGTCTGTCCCTGCACAAACATCCCTGGTGTGAGAAAGGCCAGCTGGATAGCTGGCAAACTTGCATTTGCCTCTGCCACAATGAAGTTAAGTGATGAGTCAGAGACAAAGAAAGAACTGTAGTACAGAACCACCAACTTGGCTTGAGCTACTTGCTCAAATCTGAACCTGGGCATTGCTACCAAGGTAGCAGAGGTAGGACTTTGAAGTTATCAGAGAGAAGGTCAAAAGAGCAGATTTTCTCAAATCTGTAGCTATCTACATGGGGAAGAGTACTTTGAAAAGTGCACAGTTCTTCAGTGTAGCAGAATGGTATGATAAGATCCAACACCTGGAAACAGAAGTGAGAACAATTAAGACTAGACACAAGGCTTGTATTTTTAACAATGTGAGTAATTAGGCATTGTGAACTAGCATTGTGGATTGCAATGGACTTTTCATCACCAGAAAATGTTAAGATCGAGTATTTCTCTAAAAGATATATTCAGTTCAACCAGAGCTGTAAGAGTAGAGCAGAAATTAATTCAGGGAAGCTCTCTCGCTTATTTTGTGAGGAAAAGGAGATTAGAATAGATAATTAAGTACTTCTTTTTGCCTTAAAATCCACATAAATGTGAGTTTGAAAAGAAAAGATAAAATGCAAAAGATTTCTGGAAAAGATAGTTCTATTGAGTAGACACATTAAGAAATTCTATTCTGTGTATGCAGTTCTCTCTTTTGTGCAGCTAGGACTCTAGCCATTACATCTGAGCAGACTTGCATCAGTAAGTGACCAGATTTGTTCAGGAGCTGGAAGACTGTACCCCCCAGATGAGCTTCTACAGTAGATCTACTGCACTTCCCTAAACGACTGCACAAAGTTTGAAACAAGACAAAACTGTCTGTTGCCTCCAGGGTCAGAATCAGGACCAGAATAACCGAGAATGAAAACTGAAGGCTTAGGTAGACGGAGAGAACTAAGCATCTATATAGACCTGTAAGTTATATGATGGTGCCACACTTCAAAGCAATAACTTAACCCATGACTCTGACAAGTCGGTCTGCACAATTCTCTGCCTGCCCAAGCACTGAAATGCCAGTTCAGCAGATGACCTGAACCATCCATTCCTCTTCCCTGATGACCAAAATCTAAATGATATTTCCAGAAATGTCATATTCTTTGCATCATTTTTCGCTTTTGCACAGGTCTTGCAAATCTCTCAGACACCTGGAACTCTAGACCAAGGACCAAACCCTTCATCTCCCACAGCAGCAATAAACTATCAGAATTTAGGATTAGAAATAGGTTGCAGCTGCCATGTATAATGCCACATATAATGCAGAATGAAAAAAGTTAGCCTTTACTGCTTCCCTGAGAGATGAAAAATTAACCCTTCACTTGTAGTTTAATAGTTACCTCTTGTTTGAAACAATTTTTCTTCCAGTTATTTCCAGGAAGAAAATCTCAGAACTAGAGCCTGCTCATGCCTGCTACCAGTTAAACTTTTAGGGGTAGTTTTAGGACTTTCGAAAAAGAAAAGTTCATATTCCCTGAACCTGTGCACTGCCTAACAATGCCCATAATCTTTTGCTCCTCATTTCATCAATTTCTACATTTACTATAATTTTATCACATATTAGAGATAGCTAACATTTTTTGCATGATTACCAGACCCTCTCTAATGCCAGAATGAAGGCGGGTGTATAAAGATTTCAAAGATTAGGATCACTGCATGGCTAGCGCAGGTCCTATTTATTTCAAAGATATCATAGCAGCTGAGATCAGATGAGGTATTTGGGCCAGTAGGTCACAGTTTCATTGGGAGAGACAATGGTGTTTTCTGTGAGGGATCCTAATCCCAAGTTAACTAAGCAATATATCATCTTGTAAAGTCTCCCAAGTTTCTCTCATGGGAGACAAAGATGACCATCAGGCATCTCAGTTCTACCAAAGCTGGCTTTTAAAAACAGCAACATTAAATCGTACTGCAGCTGCAAATGTGTATGCAGACAAACTGAAGTAATAATTTTCATGAGCACACTTGAACATTGTTAACACCCCTGTTAAGCTTCAGATAACATTGTTTTTTGAAAATTATATATTAGCTATGTTCCTTCACATGTGAGATGACAAAAGATGGGAAAACACATTACCCCACAACTCACAAGAAATTTCCACTGAAGCACTCACTGCATCTTCAGCAGCAGCATGGAGTAGGTGCTGTGCACAGCCTTCTCCAGGAAGCCCCCATTCTTCACAGCACTGCCTTTTGGCATCTTACACCCCCATGCTGCCCTTTGTCTGGCCACAAGGAATGACCATTGTCGACAATGGCTCCATTCTACAAGACAGGAACACCACTCATGCACTAAAATGGCAACTGTCTGTACAGCATCCTCTGTGGCAACTAAATGAATGTCAGCCTTGTCTTAGGCTCAATTTTCCAAATAATTTCTGCTTTATTTTAAATTGTACCTTAGCTACACATAGAACTATTTGAAACATAACATTCTTCTGCTTCCAGTTTCAGACCCTCTTTCTAAAACCAAGCAGTTGGTGCCTTGTACAGACTTGCCTGGCTCATGTGTCTATGTAAGCTTCCCACAGAAGCTTCCCAAGCTGCAATCATGCAGAGAGCAGATTCACTACTTGGTGCACTGTGAATATGTAAACCTTCCTGGCACACCTGCATTTCGTGTGTACCCTCTGCTCAAATTTCTGCTGTACGTAAAAATGTGACAAGAGCATCACCAAAAAGAAAAGCAGTCCCTGAGGTTATGGCTGAGATTACAAGCTTGGGTTAGAGCATAGAGAGCATGTTAACTGAGAAAGAAAAACACTCTTTTTAAAAAATCACAACTTTCAAGAGGAAAGCACAGCAAGCTTCAAAGCTTGAAACAAGTGCAAGAAAATCACTGTCATTTGCTGTCCCACTGCTTATGGGTGTCAACAAAGGAGTGGGTCTGAATCTGGTGCCAGAAAAAAGTAAGGAAACTGCAGACCAGCACAGGATGTGCAGCTCCAGAGATACAAGGCTGAGAAAGACACTGTGGAAAGGACCAAGTCAAAACAAGCTCAGCTTGGGAGGCTCAAAACAGAGGTTTCCTCACTTTAACAAAACCTTTTGCGCCAAATCATCTATGCAGCATATTCTACCCTGGAAAAATCTTTTCCCAGTTGCTTACTGATTTTTTTTTAATTCTTGCCCTTTTTCCCAAATAAGAGACCTTATATTCAGCAGTATCTTGGCACATACTAGTGCATATTAAGGAAAGAACAGGCTCAGTTCAGATTTTTCTTGTTTACAATTTCAGACTGAATTCTGCCCTCCAGTCCTGACTCCAACAGGAGTAACACTTGTGTAATTGAATACAGAATGCAACCCTTAGGGTTTTGGTCTGACCAGGAACAGAACTTTATGTGTATTTAATTCATTTTTAGGTTTAGGCATTTTTTCAAATTGGGGCATAAGTTCTGCTCTTGTGTTAGGAATGAAAATTATTTAAAAAGGGCAGAAACTTATCTCTGGTTTCAGTACAGTCATACATCTATGCATACATACATATATAACATGGAGAGAGAAAGAGGGGGAGAAATGTCTGGAAGAGATTATTTTTAGAGAGGATATAACCATTAGACATACTTCATTATTGTTGAAAAAGTCTTCAAATCAAACACAGTAACAAAAGAGTCACATCTTGTTTATTGATGAGAATGCTTCAGTGCTCAGCTCTAACAGGGTCCTATTGTAAGGCAGAGAGCCAGCAGCAAGCTCCCTTGGCTTCACTGAGAGGAGGATCAGGCCTTGCTGTTTTGAAGGTCACTGCATAATACATTTGTATTTACTGTACTGAGCACAGAGTGGCCTTTTTTGTACATGTTTTCTTGCCTGGAGATTTTCTATTATGAAAATGTGACAGTATTTAGGGTGGAATAAAATATACCTGAAGAAAGAGATTAACACAGTCATAATGAAGGATATTTTCGTTAAGAAACTTGGCCCGCTTTAGTCTGTGCCTGTGATCAGTAATAACCGACCTTCTCCCAAAACACTAGATTAATTCCAAAAATTACAGTAACCCCTAAGTTCTCAAAGTTTTACCAGGCCAAGGGAAAGTGGCTTCTGTACCAAATCTGAAAGTTTAATTGAGAGAGGGAGAGGAAAAGGGTAAAGGTAATGCAAAAAGAGGACTCAAAGAAATCCACAGGAAAAATAAACAACCATTCAAAACCAAGACAAAAAATACAAAACTGACAAAACCTGTCTGGATTTCTACTCTCTAAAAACACATCAGAAATCTTGCAGTGCCAGTCTGGAGAAGCAATGAACCAGGGAATTTTGACCAATTGGGGTATCAGTACAACAGACAAAATGTTAGGACATTTTAGCAGATGGGTCAAGAGGAAATCGCTAAAGTGAGGTGGTATTCAATTCAACAACTGAAGTTGTCTGAGAACTCATACATGAAATCAAACAGTAATGGTGCTTTGGTTTAAAGCAGCCACAGAGGCAGAGAAACAAAATGTGATTAATGTGCCATTGATCTTCACTAAAGTGCTAATGATCCTAGTTATTGCAGGCTTGGAAATTTATTTCTGCTTCAGGTAAACAAGCAGAGATGATAACAAAACACCAGTAGAAGAAGGGTCAAGATTAACTTCTGTACAGCAGTCAGGCCCCAAAATCTTTTATAGTTGTTAGATCACATCAGTGTGTGCATGGATAACACAGCAAGCTGACACAGTGTGACTGGATCTTTGCAGACTTTCAACAAAATCCGTTGCCAAAGACTTTCAGAGAAACAAAAACTTGAAGATTAGTCATGGGCTAAAGGGAAGGTATTCCTCAGGATTAGCTGCTGATGAAAAGAAGGGAAACAAAAGGGAACAGTGAGTGGTCAATTTTCACAGAGAAGGATGATTACTGGCAGAATCTTCTGGTCATCTCTCTTGGGATTCTGCTCTTCAATATATTTATAAGTTATATGGAAAATATTAAGTAGTGAGTTAGCAAAGTTTACAGGCGATGGGAATTATTCAGGATTAAATCTATGTATAAAGCACCACAGAAAACTCTTATGAATAATTTGACAATAAAATAACAGATGAAATGAAGGGTAAAAATTTGGAGGAAAATAGATTTAAGAATATCTACAGGAGGAAATGTTCTCATCTCAGGAAAGAGATCTTAAAATTTGTGAGTCCTTTGGCAATCCAGCACAATACTATTGACAACCAAAAGGCAAGGAGAAAGTTAGGAGTTATCAGAAGAAGAATAAAAAACAGAAAATGTCACTGTGCTAGTGTGTAAGTCCCTGGTACATGAATACCCTGAGCAGTGTGTGCACTTGTGGTAAGCAGTGATGAGGAACAACAAAATGGTTTCTGTACAAGAAATGCCTTTGAGAGTCTCAAATATGTCCGTTGTGTATCTGCTGATAACTTCATGGCCTGCAAATTGAGCATAGCGTAAAATCATCCATTCTACCTTATACGTCCTTTGGAGAGTCTGAGCAGCACTGCCAACAAGATGTGCTCAGGATGTATCTCATCGCACAAGGTTTAACTGTCAAGCATATGCTCTATCAGCCAAGCATTTCTGGAAAGAACTGGCTTTACAATGTATGCGTTGTACAGGCAGTTTGTGTAAGCACAGTAAAGCTTTGCCAGGCAGTGGACATGGTGTCCAGGAAACTCATGATGTGAGCATGGTTATCCTACTACCTTCCTGGGGGTATCCCCTCATATCTTCTCAAGCTTCCAGGGCATCCCTATGGCTCCATGACAAGAAGATCGAAACAGTGGCTACAGAGGACTCCCTGAGATCTGCATGCTCAAGGTAGGTATTGATAAAAGGCTTTTCTGCAACACAAGCTGTGCAGTTTTACAGAATCCTCATATTCCTACATGTATGTGTGTATGTCCACATAGATGTGCATACATGTGTGTTGGTATCCCTTCGTATGGCTGATATAGACATTAGATATGCCTAATTGTGAAAAGCACACCGTGTGTAGTAAATCATTTTGCTAAGTCAGATTAAAGGTGCTATTATTCATGGCAATGTAATACTATCTATAATTTCTGTGTTAAACTTGACATTATAAATCCTTTAATCTGAGTATTTAAAAGCTGTTCTATGGCTCATTTTTCAAACGGCATTCCAGTTAACACATTTACTGCTAATGAACCACTAATATGTTCTCTCTTTCTTAGATAGTGCTGTTGACCAACATTATTATTTGTGCGTCATATAATTATTTTTTTGGCTTTTTAATTTAATTGCTTCAATAAAAATATACACCAATAATGCATTTTTAATTACACTTCCCAGGTGACCTATGCAAAAAGAGGTTTTATAATGAAGCCACAATAATTAGGCTGTCACAGTCCAGTTTGGGGCTATTGTGTCGTTGTCCTTTCCATGGCTCACCTTAGCCTGACTGGAATTCTAAAACCCTTATATATTATCTCCCATAACACTTAGAAAGGTATTAAAAATGTGTGCAGTACTGGCAGAAGCAAGCTTTCTAATTATTGTCAACTATTTCCAGTGTGACGTGGCAGATTCCCTTGAGAACTGAAACAACAGCCCACTCCAGGATTTGTAATAGGCCCTAGAGCCTAAGTAATTGTAGACAGAGCTGTTTCCCTCAGGATAGATAATTGGTTTACATAGCAGCTCAACATCTGAACTAAATCCTTTTTTTTTTCTATTGTCATTTCCCTGTTAAATATACATAACTATTTGGGATATTAAATACAATGCAATTCACTATTTAATAGCAGAACAATTTGCATGAGCTACTTTACCTGGAATGCTAATAACTGTTATCACCCTACATTTTCATGCATAAATGATAAAATATTATTAAGGTGAAATGCTGTACTCCTTAATCAAGCACAACTTCCACTGAAGCCACTGGGAGATTTGCTCAATTAAATATTGCAAAACATATTTCTTAGTTTGTTGAAAGTAAGATATCATCATTAAAATATTCTACCTAATGTTATTATTGGTCAGCTTATTAAATGGGACCATATTAATGTTTTTGCAGGTATAACCAACACTGTAGGGTGCTGATCTATTATCATCAGTTTATAAACCACTTTTATAAAATGCGCAATTACCAGAATTAATGATTAAGATACAAATATATTTACTGTCACTGGTAATAACATGATTCTAACAACTAAATGTCCTTAGTCTGAGTTGCTATATATGTAAGAGAGATACGGAGCTTATTCTTAAAACAGATTTTACTTTCCGTTTGCAAATCTAGGACTAGTACATACAAAATTCTTTTAAAAACATGTAAAAAGACACTGCAGTGGTAGCGATTTCTTTCTTTAACAAAGGGTGCCTTACTATTTCATGTAGTAGAAAAAAGAAAACAATTGCAGAACATTAGAATAAAACTTATTTGCTCATTTTTTCAAGGAGCATAACAAGATCCTGAGCTTGCAAGTACTGAGTACTTCAGAAATTCAGGATGCTCAGAAATCACAAGACTGCCTCCTGATCCTTGTGGTTAAGTATAATACCCAGCTGTGCAATGCAGCTAGAGGTTTCATGTCTTTGACACTAAATTTTGTCATATTGGAGTTGAAGAAGCAGGACCCTAGTAACAAGACTCATCTTGCATTTTCTATTCCTTCACTGATTTCAGTGAATATCCTGGGTGCACGAAAAATTAGCATTGTGCCTGTAGCTTGTTACCTGACATATACAAGAACTGAAAACACCACATATATTTCTACTGTCCATCATTCATCACAAGCTCAAAAATCACATGGAAGCTGTGATATCTGAAGTGCTCATTCGTCACTCTGTGTCTGATATTAAGATGCTGTTGCCAGGTATTTTCTGTCCCCAAAAGGAAATTTTCAGAAAAAGAAACAGTGGGAAACCAATTCATAAGAGTGCTCAAAATGTGATACCCTGAAGTTTGCAAGTCTCTGTAGAAATACCTAGGAATATTTCATCTCATAAGATGTACAGGTCAGACCCTGCACACCATGACTGTTGCCACTGATTTCTGCATATAGAGCCAGTGGCTCCAGTTCTACAAAATACTCAGTCCTTGTAAAAAGCGAGTAAAGCATAACAAAACCATTAAACATGGGCTAATCTTTACATTTACGCTTAAGTTAAATTGAAGGCAAGAGGACCTAAGTCTGCATTTGCTTATAACCAAGAAGTTCTTGTGCCCAGAACAAAACACTGTATTGTGCTGGAAGAGGCAGCACTGGCTTCCTCTTGAAGTTCTGGGGTTGCTGTAGTTCATTCCAGAGATAGAGCCGTCAACCTTAAGTATTTTAATGAACAGTAAATGTTATTTTTAAAGCAAATCTAAAACTAAAACTAACTCCCTAACATGCTTAAATATGTCATGGCATATGTTATATGTGTAGTAAGACTGAATTTCTTAGAGAAGCAGAAAGGATGAGGAAAAAAATCAGTCATGTGAGTTGTCAAATATAACCTTTTGGCATTCTAATAAACTGTTGCTTAGATAGAAATATCAAGCTATTACTAATGGCTATTAATGTGTACATGCTTCATGTAATTTTATAGTATCTTATTTTAATATCTGTAATTGTAATGAATTGCAATTTAGGAAGGAAACAATTTTCATTTACTTTATATAACATAATTATGGACCAAATTAACCCCACACTAGTCTTAATTACATTTAGTTTCATTTGGCTGATCAAGCAATTAATGTGCCACTGTATTTTGGAAGTAAAAACCAAGTTGTTACGGTCTGTCTTCAAAAAACATGTACTCATCTCAAGTGTAGACACTGTGTAAAACTGTCCTTTGGAATATTTTTTTTTTTGGTTTACTGTAGGTCTGTATGTTGCAGCACAAGAATGTGACTATAATGAGGCCCTTCTGCACCTGGGGTCCTGTTATACTGTGCTGCTTAATAATCTTCCCTTCATGCCACCCTTTATCTGCTGTTCTCAAATTGTACTTCTGCTTTTCTCTTTTAATTGGGAACTAATTTTAATTTTGCCATTAGAGATGGTAAAAAAGCCCACATATAAACTTGTATTTCCTCAAGCCTCTGTACTGTCACTCAGCCTTTTTTTGAAGTCAGGGCTGGAACTAGCTCTTTTTGCTCTTCTGGCTAAAGAATAGCAGAGGGAGAATATTTTTAAAAGCCAAGACAAGAAAACCCATAAAATATTGAGCTGCATACTGATGTTCATATTCGGGTTCTCCTCAACACTCTAGTGAAATCACTGTCTGCAGAACGACAACACAAAAACAGTGCAATGGCTGTAGGATCTGGCCCATTAGCATTTAATACTATCTATCAGACTGTCTAACCCTTTCAAATAATTGAGAGAGAAAACAGCCCTTTGCAATATAGGTATGTTGTGAATCTAATTGGGGTAGTACAAGGTTATTTAAACACAGTTCATAAGCAGGGGCATTCTCACAATAACATAGGCATTGTATTATCTATTTAAGAGGATTTGGGGATGCTTTCAGAAATCATGGGATTCATGTCATAGCAATCTCTTTATGCTATTTTCAAAATTTGGAAAAGCAGTGACTTTTCTCATGACCTTCACATTTCTCAACGGAAAACAGCAGTGCATTTAATAAAACAGCATTTTATTAATGCTGCTATTTTTAGAGATAATTTGTGTAGTCTGGTTTCTTAGATGTGCTTTCCAGCAACTTTCTTCCATTTAGAGGGTGGATGAAGCACCAGTCTACAAGGGACTGTATCATTTGTCTTGAGAGTGCATGGTTTTACCACTGGGATTAACGCTTTCCTGGACCTCAGGAAAATCTGGGTCTTAATGTACTCTTCAGCTGCTTCAGACAAACTCTAGCACTTTTTTTTCACTGAAGGAATTCAAAGCCATTTGTAAATCGTTTTTTAGTGTCTTTAAGTGCAATTCTGAAAAAGCAATGGCTTTACATTTTTTCGCTCCAGATAATGCTCAAAGCTAAATTTCTCTCCCTGAAGAACATTAGTCAAACTGACTTTGTGGGGTTCTTTACACAACTAAAATGAGTTGGATTTGACCTTTCATTTTCGATTGGTCTGGATGACAATCATAAAGCATATCATATTATATTCATGTCAAAAGCTAAAAGATGGGGCCCCCCCACCCCAGTCTTAGTAGAAGGAAAGATGGCTCTTTTTTCCCTATGTGTCCATTGTAAATTCTCCTCTTTTCAGCTATAAAGGGTTGATAAATATTTGGGCAGAAAGAATGTGGAAACATCAGAATGCATATGATAACCAAGGTTTTCCCAGATTTCCACTATTGGAACTGACCCATCAGCCACTCTTTCCATTCAACAGTGTGACCAAAGCTGTTTGCTGGTGGAAAGTGTGGGTCTCCTCCAGACCAGGCTGGGGACAGGCTGCACATCACAACTTGCAGCAGTTTATGCTTCTTATGCAAACAATCTAACCAAGGTCACCTCATCTGGGGTTAGCTGCTGAATTTCAAAGGCTGCTCTGGACAACATTTAGCAAATAATAAAAGTAAATCCAGCCTAAAGTCACTCATAACTTCTCGAATGTAGAAGAAACTAATCTCCAAAATAGATAAACTATCAACTGGATGACACAGTAGTTTTTTGAGAATCAGAAGCCACAGTGAAGTGTATCCTCCTGAACGCAGATTCAGGTGAGATGATGTGGAGTGTGAGAGGGAGGGTGAAGTCTGGCCCTAAAGGAATAGTCCGATCAATTGGGATAAACTTGATAGGAATTTTGCCATTGATTTCACTGGTACAGGAATTTTACTCTCACATGAAGCTTCATGCAGTTAGAAACAGATGTTAAAGATGGAATTGATTATACGTGGTTTTCCCCTAAATTCTCTCTAGTAATCTTCCTAAACCAAAAGAAGGCAGTATTTTCTAATTGCTGTTATATACTACATTTAAGTGAAATTTATATGGCAAAACATAGATACATTCTGAGGCCTAAGTATACTCATTATCAAAGCAAAACACAGTATAATGAATTGTATTGGTTCCTATTTTCTCTGTGTAAATAAAGTATTTTTACAAATATTATTTGTAAGATGTTATTCTAACACAGTCTGCTACTTATTTCAGAGGAAAATAAGGAGCATCCTAAATAGTACTAAGCTACAACTGGCAAAATAACGATGACATATCTTTTATCATACACTATCCTTGATTTTTTTAATTCTAATTTTGGTTTGTACATTACACATATACCTTTGTTCATTAGTTTGCAGAAGTCACTCAGTTTGAGTTGTCCAGTCAGTCTTTGGTGAAAATTAGCTAACGTTCTACTCTATTTCACACTCAAAGCACTTCCATTATGGTTGGATAATGGTTGTACCATCAATAAAGAGTATGAATCCAGTTATGTGGAGACCTTGGCTTAACCTTTCCATATGCTATTGATATTTATAGAGCTTCTGACATAATCAATTAGCCTGAAAACTGGCACTCATGGAAGGTAAACCCATATAAAGGAGCCATTGCATCTGCATTTTCATTAACCTTTCAAATAAGCATGTAGAAAATAAAGACAAATATATACCATATGTAATGTATGCTAATCCAGCAAATTTTCTAATGATATAGCAGATCAGGAATAAACTTGCTTAGTGGTATCTTGATTGCTAAGTTCTATAGCTGCTTTCATGGGTTTTTACTCTTCAGCCAGACATCTAGAAACACGGTGAAAGTGAAATGAGATTAGCTGACTTCTGTATAATACACTTCCCAACTAGTACTGAATTTAAGCTCAGATGCAAAGCCTGGTTTGTATGGTACCAACTCAAATTTGCAGTCAGTTGCTAATAGCTGAAATACCATAGACAGAATTTGGGAAAGAAATAATAAAACACACAACATAGAATTCCATATGACCACCCAGTCATGTAAGAAATAAATCCGTAACAGAGAGAAAGGGAGTTTTGGTAGGACTTTTTTTTTATCCTTTTAAGCAAACATATTTGTTGTTTGCCTTTTCCACACAGAAGAGGATCATCCTCCATATACATTTCAGAGGAATACGTAAGCAAACTGGTTTTGTCTGGTCCTGGAACAGGAGATGAAACAGATGAGATGGAATACTAAGTTCAATGTGGTTCATGGGAATTTGTGCTCCCGTTCCACTGACATGCTGCATAAGTATACTTTTGCTTTGTTGGAAGATTTACTCTGTCGAACACCTGATTTTCTGTTACTCCCTTGAGTGATGGTTCAGAATATGATCCATGATACTTTAGCCATTTTCCAGAATAGAGATTTAGTCATAATGGAAATATTTTCATCTTGAGAGAACAAGCTATATCTGATTATTAATTAAAATTACTACAGTAGATCAGTTACCCTAGCCTATATGGTTCCACACTATAAATATAAGTCAGAAGGAAGAGATTTCTGAATTACTAGAAGAGTAAGAAAGGAAAGCAAGTCCAAGGTATTATGTCTGTCAAAGCCACAAGACTGATTCTGAGCACCTCAGGAATGACAGCCATGACTGGCTAGGCCGTCTTTGAAAGGAATCAAAAGGATTGCTGCCCCAAATAATATGAAGCATAGAATCATAGAATAGTTAGGGCTGGAAAGGACCTTACGATCATCTAGTTCCAGCCCCCTGCAATGGGCAGGGACACATCACACTAGACCATGTCACCTGAGACTCTGTCCAACCTGGCCTTGAACACCGCCAAGGATGGAGCATTCAGAACTTCCCTAGACAACCCATTCCAGTGCCTCACCACCCTTACAGTAAGGAATTTATTCCTTATATCCAATTTAAACTTCCCTGTTTAAGTTTTAACCCATTACCCCTTGTCCTGTCACTACAGTTCCTAATGAATAGTCCCTCCCCAGCATCCCTATAGC